GCCCCCATACTAGGGATTGAACACAGTGGCTTTACTACTGAGCTACATCTTCAGCCCTTTTAATTTTTTGAGACAGAGTCTTGCTAAGTTGCTGAGGCTGACCTCAAACTCATAATTCTCCTGCTTCAGCCTCCCACATAACTGGGATTACAGATGTGCACCACTACAACAGGTTGTTTATTTGTTTTCTTTTTWGAATAACACCAGCAGAAACCTATCAGGGACTAGGTCTGCTTATTTTTGTGCCTTATTCTTCAGTGGGGTTCCATTAGTGTTATTCTTAAAAATAAAAATAAAAAGAGGTTCACAAAGTCCAGGACTTAAGTCTGAGCAGGTTCCTCTGTGTACTGAAGATCACAGACAATACGCTATATTTCSTCTCATTCACTTGTCGAGGGCTTTGGTCATACTCTGGACTAGATGAAGGACACGGCTAAGGACAGATTAAAAATCAGTCGAGGTGTTAGTGAGAAAGAGCTTCAGGTAGGGCCCAAAAGCATACTGGGGATGTTTCAGGAACAAAATGGTGACAGTCCAGTTGACGTAAATGAAGCCCAGAGAACTGCAGCAGGAATGAACATCAAAGACCAGGCTAGCCAGGTCCTGGAGCCGGGGCCTCCCAAGAGCTTTGACTTTGATCCTGGGATGGGAGCCACTGCAGGAGGGAAAAGAAACATTTCATGTTTTAAATGAATCATTCTGCATCTTTGGTTAACAATAAAAGTATAACTTTATGTCAAATATAAAGCAAAGACCACCAAGTTGCTGAGTTTATATACTTGCCAGGCATGGAATCTAATCAGGGGAAAGGTTCAAGGCCTGGAAACTCATCAGGGGAAAATCTCAAGAATCAGGAAAAGTCCTGGCTTTTTAAGTGCTAGAAAGAGGGAAGCGGGGGTGAGGTGGGGGGAGTGTTTCATGGTGGTTGTTAATCAAAGGTTGAAAATCAACACTATGGGGTGGAACAGCATTGATAAAGCATGTCTCTTTGTTCACTGGGCAGAAACAGAGTTCAGGTAGRTCTTAGAAGGGCCTGGCAATGGGGTCAAAGTCCACAGACCTTTGTCGGCTTCAGTTGGTTAGCACCAGGTATGGTATAACATAGCATTCCATTTTGACATCTAATAGGCAAGTGCTGTAAGTGGAAATTTTCCCTTTTACAGGTGGAAACAGGAAGACCTATTAGGAATCTCTAGTAGAAAGCCAGGCAGCTCATGCCGTGGAGGTGGTGAGATTCTGGATGTATCTGGAGATACATAAAGAATGACTCCCAGGGTGGGTGTTGACCTCTGTGGACAAATGTTAGAGTCGTCTTGGAGATAAGAAGGGCTGTGGGTGGAGCAGGTTTTGGGGAAAGATTTCGYATTTGTGTGGGTTTAAGATGTCTATTAGACCCATGAGGGCAACAGCAAAAAGACAGTAAAGTCTGGCTGGTGACATGAAGTTGAAACTTGAAAGGATCCAGATGTTGTTGAATGGCAGGAGACTGGATACATTCACCTGGGGAGCCAACGAAACAGAACTCCAAAGAGTCCAACAGTATTCTTTCTTCCTGGTTCCAAATTTAATACATATATTTATATATATATATATATATACACATATTTGATATACATAGATATATTATCACATGTATGTGTATAATGGATATATGTGTATAATAGAATAATGAAAATGTTCTTGTAAGCCTTCTAAAATACTTTTGGAATGATGGAGGGGTATAAGTTGATCAACGAGTTGGACAGAGTGACGCATACTGTAATGCCAGCAACTCCAGAGGCAGAGGCTGAGACAGGAGGATGACTAATTCAAGGTCAGTCTTAGCAACTTAATGAGACCCTACCTCAAAAAAAAAAATTTTTTTTTTTTTTTTAAAAAGGCCTGGGTATGTAGCTCAGTGGCAAAACAACCCTGGGTTCAATCCCCAGTACCCAAAAATAAATAATAATAAAGAAATTGATCAACGATGTTTGAAAGTCTCACTGTGCCAAGTGTTTTGAAAAAGGCATAATAATAATCACTTTTGACAATCTTCTATGAGAAAGACACTATTCTATATGCTTTATAAACACATCTTGCTTAATATCTGCAAATTTCTTAGGTAGTTACTAAACCCATTTTACAGATAAGGAGATGGAGGCCAGAAAAAAAATCAAGTACTTTGCCCAGCATCCATTCCATTTGGCTGGAATTGAAGCCAAAATGTATTTGAGTCTCTTATAACTCCACCTCCAGTGGTAATTTACTAATGTGGGTAGAGAGCAAAATGAACAGAAACTGAGGTGTCCCCACAGATTGCAACTCTTGGCATGAGTCAAGTTAGTGCGATGGTCTTCAGCCTGGAGCCCGTTCCCAAATCCCCCATTTGTCAAAACAACAATTGAAGTTTGTTACAGAGGCCTGGCTAGTGGGGGAGGGGCCACAAACCAGGTCTGGCCACTTACTCCCAAAACCACACAGAAAACTTTAATTGATATGGCCATACTGGGRAGACAAAAATTAAGATTCAGCAGCTCAGCCCTGTCTCCAGGGTGCTGTGCTAACAGGGCCTTAGGTTTTAACAGRGGAAGAGCGCACACTTTGGCAGCACACATACTAAAATTGGTACAATACAGAGAAGATCAGCATGTCCCCTGTGCAAGGACATGCAAATTCATGAAGCATTTCACAAATTAAAAAAATACAGGAAGTAAGAATTTGGGGAGGGTGAGGCAAGAGGTTAGTATAATCAAGCAGTCTTGGTCAAACTGTGGTCTGGTTGATCAATCTCTGTTCTCTTTCTGTGAGGCGATGAGGTGGCTCTGGAGAAGTTCTGTGTCACTGGAGGGTGGAGGGCAATTTCCACTGGTTGCTCAGGATGCGCATTGATCAGACCTGTGATTCTGAAAGGGGGCAATGACTGGGGACTTYCAGGCACCACTTATCGGGGTCTGAAGTTGGATGCTGCAAATCTTCAAGGGGGACAATTGAGGTTAGCTAAATTACTAAGTTATTACCAGTTTTTAGATGAATGCTTCTTAAATGATTAACATGTCTAACTGCAGAGCTGAACAAGAACTAGACCCAAAGTTTAAGATAGCAAAGGAGTCAGATACAAGATGAAGGCAGAGAGGCCAGGCTTTATCCTACTTTTAGTTACTATTGGGCATATGCAGACCTGAAGAGTCACTGCTTTAGCAAAGGTAACCTAAAATGCTATTAACTATCTAAACCTAGAGTCTCTGACTCCACAGATCTGGATTGTGGCTTGCTAATTTGCATTTCCACTGAGATCTCAAGTGCTGCTGCTAGGGATAACACTTGGAGAAACACTGGTTTAGCCCATAGCAGGTTTTCCCTGCCAGCTAAATAGCCTCTACCTTCCACATGCCCAGGTCTCTTGAAAGCCCAAAAGAGAAGGGAAGTTCACAACTCAGCTGCAGGAGGGTCTGGAGGATCTGGAGACACTTGAGTGTCCTGGCAGGGAGCAGATGGTGGGGCAACGGTGGCTCAACTCCAGGAGCTTGCCAACATACAGGTTAGCAAGTTGTCTAAATAATAACTTCTTTTACTACTATATTATACTACCAGTGGTCTCATCAGCCTTTCCTGGCAAGAAACTTCCACCTCTTGTGAAGGAGAGAGTTCAGTTATGGTAGTTCTTTAAAGCCTACCCAACTAGTGGAAGGGTGCCTTTAAGAACAAGAATATAAACTTAAAAATAAACAACTAGTTGCTGGGCCTTGGGAGAAACTTGTGCAAGAAGGGTACTGCAGCCTAAGCCTCATTAGCTTCATGGGATTGAGTTCTGATCAAACTTGTCTGTATATGTCTAAGCTCCAATTATAGACATATGCAAGTTATTTCCCATGAGACTCCTGTGCTTCAGGCTAATATAGGAAGTGGTTGATTCCTGCCTAAGCGAACTTGAGCATTTCATGGTTGGAGAGGCTTGTTTGCCTTGAACCTGGCAATGGGGGAAGGGCTACTGCCTCCACACTGCCTCAAGTAGGACCCAGTTGAGGCACTTATCCTTGAACTTGATTTTTTTTCCATGAGTTCAAAGCCTTTTAGAAATCTTTCCTTTTTAAAAAATTCATCCTCAGCCTTTAAATTTTTTTTTTCTTTTTAATTGAGACAGCCCAGACTGGCCTTGAACTTGCAATCCTAAATTGCTAGGATTATAAGCATGCCTATCGCGCCTGTCCCTTTAGTTAAGTCTTTGAAATCTTTTCTTATCTGGTTTGTTCTAAGACGTATAACGGGCAAACCTGGCTTTGTGAATATAGTGACACGCTGGGCCACCAGCTGAGCGAAGTAAAAGGGTGCTGGACTAGGAGTTGGGGGGCAAGACTCAAAGATGAGTAAAGAGTGACTCCCTACATCCACAGGAACACCAAGAACCTCAACCTGAGATGGAAAAGGCATCTAAGAGACATGATGTGGCTTGTGAAGGAGACAGCGTTTGATTTGGGCCTTTTAAGATATAGGAGTAGACACGTCTGAAGAAGCATTCCTAGACAGAGAAAGCCAGTATGGCCCCTGGGTGTTTTTTTTGTTTGTTTGTTTTTTTCTCCTAAAGAACACTCTCCCTCCAGGGTATTGGGGCAAGAAGGGCACAGGCCAGAGGATGCCAAGAAGCACCTCCTGAGTAATGGGGAACCACGAAGATGAGGAGTCCCAGTACTGAAGCACCACCAGGAACTGAATCAGACCAGGGGTATTCTCGACGTCAAAGCGACCTAAAGGCAGAGGCGCCATCAGAAGGAATCACTGAAATGGATTTTTCGTGCTAGGCCTGGGGTCTAGACCGGCACTCAGGCACCTGGAAAGTTCTCGCATTGCAGCATAGACTAGAGCGCCCGGCGTCCGAGGCGCGGTCGAAGCTCCCTGGAGCCCCGCCGCCCCGCCCCAGCCCTAGCCCTGCCCACGCCCACGGCGGCTGCGCGGCGGGGCTGCCMGTCTCCACGTGATCGCCGCCACGCCTCCACGAAGCGTAAGCGGCCATCATAAGTCCTGGCGGCCGGGCCTGGGCCTGCCTCCCTTCTCTATGGCCGGGCAACGATGATGGAGTCGGGTTGTGTGGTCCCAGACCCGTCTGGCCGGTAAAGCCGTGAGTCTCCGAGAGCGGTACAAGTAATTGGGACCCACGGACTCTGGGGCGGAAAGACAGGCCCAGGTGTCGGCACAGCGGGGGCGGTGCCCAGAGCCGAGCCCCGCCCCTCGCAGGCCAGCGCCCAGGGCCCGCGGTCCTTGCCCGTTTCCAGTATGGCCGCCCGCTGTGCTTGACCCGCGGCCTCTCCGTTCCGGCTCCTCGTAGGCGATGCTGAGGCCGAGGCCGTGACTGACACTCTCGCTTACACGCACGCACGGACCCAGACCCACGCCTGAGCCCGAGCCCTGGGCCCGGAACCGCTCTCGCTCCCGGCACCGCGGCCGGATCCCGGACCACGGCTCCCGCGCCGCCGCGTCGCCGAGAAGGGCCGCGCCGGAGCTCGAGCGCGGCGGCCCCCGGCCGGCAGCGATGGGGAAGCGGGCGGGAGGAGGAGCAGGAGCCGCCGCCGCCGCCGCCTCCGCGTCCGCCGGGACCGGGCTGGAGCCCGCGGCCGGCCGCGGCGGGGGCCCGCGGAGCGCAGCCGCCGGCTTCCTGGGAGCGCTGCACCTGGTGATGACCCTCGTGGTGGCCGCGGCGCGGGCCGAGAAGGAAGGTGAGTGTCCGCCGCCGGCACCCACTGCCGCTGCGCTGTCACCGCTCTCGCGGAGGCCACCGCGGGGCTGCGACCGGGGAGGCCGCGTCGGCCCCGGCGCGAAGTTGGTGGGTCGAGTCCCGTCCCGGGCCGCGAACTTGCAGCTCGGAGGCCAGCTCGCCGCGTCAGCCGCGCGGAGTTGCTCCTGGGCTCCGTGGTCTCTTCCCCTTGTCCCCTGTCACTGCCATTTCCAAACTTCCCGAGCTCGAATGTTCTTGCCGCTCGGCCCGCTATGCTGTGTAGGAGGGGCATAGTTTTTAAGCTCAATTGTTGCTAATAGGTAAATCTTAGGTCACTTTTTTTTTTGGGGGGGGGGTGTTGCATTTTTAATAACGGCGTGCAGACGGAGCTCACTTTAAAATGCCATGGTAAAAATAGCAAGATTGGTGAAAAGTCTTCAAAACACGGCTTCCAAAATTTGAATCTGTTCAGAGGTCTCTTTGAGGGTAGTCTTGTTTCTTTGGCWTCCTTCTTCACTATCGCTTTGCGGTAGTGGTGATCCTTTAGCTTGTTAGTAGGTCTGAGTACAATTCCATTTAACTCTCTAGTAGCTATTGAAAGCCAGTTTGTTTCTTACTTATTTTAAAGTCACATATAATTCGGTGCCTCTCTCTTTGATGTGTAAGAGTTTAAAATCGAGTAAGTTTTCAGCTTGCAAACCTTTTAACTATAATTTACAGTTAAGGGCTGGCCCCTATTTTTAAAACTCATTAGTGTTGTCTGACTGTAAAACTGGCACTTTGATGGGGTCAGAAGTTATTTTAAAATCCTGACCACCCAATTTGTGTAAATTTGTCTCTACTACCTGTTTTTCAGGTCACAGAGCTGTAATGAAGAAGTCACTAAAAGTGATTTTTTTTTTTTTTTTTTTTTGTTTAAGAAAACTTGGCAGTTTAGCTTCTTTTTGACATTAACTCCACAACAAAATAATTTCTTGCCATGGTGACTTTAGAGTTGATGTTCTACTTGCTTTTTAATGTTATTGAAGGCCACAGCAAATGCCAGCCAAATTAGAGATCAAATGTAAATGTGCTTCAGTTTACCATTTATTTTTGTTGAAAACATAGGTTACATTCCCTCACTTTCTAAGCAGCCTTAGCTTGGGTTAACATAGGTGGAAATTTTTCAGACAGTCTCCATCTATACCAAGGGTTAATTGACAGAGGCAAGATTATTTCCAGAGTAGAATATTGCTGCTTTAGGATTAGTCAGGCCTAATCATCATTGTTTACAGATGTGCAGTTATTGAGTATTCTTACTGTTGCCCGTCCTAGACGTTCGGGCATGTCAGGGTGTTCTGTAAACCCACAGTGGTGCAATAATTTAATGGGCATGTCTCCTTGACTTCACACAGACCTGGTGGGGGTAGGGGTGTTGTGTTCTTGTCTTCCTGTTCCTTTGCTTACCTTCCACAGTGCCAGGCACATAGAAGGCACTTAGCCTTTGAGTGAATGAATGTCTTCATGAGCTGTTAGCCCAGGGAACCAGAGTCATGATGGAGTGTAGTAAAGTATTAGATTTGTATTATCCTTCTGCATATCTTCCCAACAGCCATTTTATATGCTAAATCTCCTTGTTCAGTTAAGTAAACAAACCTCTTGTTTGACAACTGTCAGCCTAAAATATATTTGCTAAGTTCTCATTTGTGTAGCTTCCAAGTTTTAGCACACCTCTCTAATATCCTTAAATGTATGTAAGGCTCATCCAGGAGAATAGCTTCTAAAGTGTTAAGTGGAAAAAGAAGTGGTTCAGCCAGTGGTCCTGGTTAAATCACGCCTTTGTGGCCCCTGCAGTATCTGTATCAACAATGTGTGTGAGCAAAGTAATGTAGAACATAGGCCTCTGCCCATCATTAAGGGTCTGGTTCTAATCAAATATTCCCTAAGATATCCCTACAAATGGCCTGGGCTGTAAACTTTCTTGCTGATCAAATGCCAGTGTTTTTGAATAAGTAGGGGAAATGCCATTGATTTTTCTTACATGATTGTGACACTGTGAATTTGGCATCTGATGTGGTGCAAACATAACATTTGCCCTAAAAGAGTGTTGTTGGGGCTTTTCAGCAAGTCTGGGCAGATTTCTGAAGATAGCTCAGTTGAGTTTGTCTGTTTATCCCCTGAGGATTCTTTATAGCTAAACTAATTTTCTGGGTATTTTGTATGTTTGTGTATTTTTTCTGCATTGCAGTTGAATTTCACTAGGAAATCTTCAAAAGAAAACTCAAAGAAAAGGGACACTTTTCTTTGTGTCCCTTTTTATACTTAACACTTTGGACACTTTGTGTCCCAAAGAAAAGCTGCAGACATAGCTAAATTGTCTAATGGGGTTTTTTGTGTTTGAACTAAGTGTTTTCTTTTTTGAGTTGGAGCATGAGCCATTTCTTGTCCTAACATCCTGTGTCTTTTAACATTCCTGTATCTTAACATCCATCTTAACTGATCTTGGGGTGTGTTATCGCTAGTCCAGAGGARAGGGATCTTTGACACTGTTTGGGCTGTGTTCAAAAGTTTGTAAGGACTTTGAAATAATTGCCAGAGGTGGAATTACTATAATTACTACAGATAACTCACTTACTCTGAGTTGGTGTCAAGATCTTTCTTGAGGCTAGGATCTAGATACTAAGAATAGTGAGTGTATGTGTGGAGGAGAGTGAAAATACATTAAAAATATGTAGAGTGAAAATATTTCTGTGTGTATATATTTGGATACTTTTTAGTTTCTTTTCAGGTATAAATCAGCCCATTAGGACAAGCAAATAAGAGTTAATTCAAAAAAGCCTCTTATGTATAACATAGTTTGATGGTGAAATGGGTTTTTGGAAGGCACGGTGCCTTTTAATTTATGATAAAGGAGCTATAATGTAGATATCTATTAAATGTAAACTTGGACATTTTCCATGGTTGTTTCAGTTCCTGAACTTTAAATCTGAATTTCACATGTGTTATCATTAATTGGTGATTGATGTCAGGGTATAATTTGACAGTCTTTATTAGTACTTAAAATTTTTTTGCTGGTGCACTGTAGTTTGGTGTACACATATTTGTTTTAAGCTATATTTGTGGCATAAGTGCAGAAGAATGGTAGAAAGGATTTTCTACAGAGCATAAGGACAAGTGCTTAGGACTAAGGCCAGAAGAATAGAGATACAAATGGAATAGTGATTTGCCTTAGGGTAGTAGAATTGATTGGGGAGAGAGATTTTTTTTCTTAGCCAAATTATTACTTTATAATGTCAAGATATATTTTAAGGAGTYTTTCTGAAGAGTGAGATACTCCCTTTGTGTGGAGATAGAGAGACTACCTTTTAGGGCCTATGAAAARAGAAATTACTAAGCACTTTACTAATGAATTTCAGTGTTTCCTAAATGCTGCTGCACCCTGTGAGGAGGACTGGAGACCACAGAGGGAAGCATTGGCCTCCCTCCTCTGCCGGTAACTGTTTTCCTCTGCATTGTCATTCTTACAATGGAGCCCCATAGGCACCTGCCCAAAAGCTCAGCTTTGGGAGCAGACGTAAAATTGTCCAATTTGCCATCCAGGGAAGTGATCRCTACATTTGGGGAAAAATGAAGTCTTTGCTGGTCTTTGATACTTTAAACTCACCTCATATAACCTGAGCTTTCTGAGAGCTTTGCCATACTAAGAGGTCCCCTTACTGTACGACCTCAGCAGCACTGGGCCCGGTTTTTATTCTGGATTTTGGACATCTTTGTGCCCCAGCTGTCCAGTTGCCCATCATATGTCCTTGTCCATTTGTGTCCAGGCCAGGGTTATCTGGCACCACCTTAGTTACCCAATTTTTATTAATGCCACCATTATTCTTCTGCCACAGCAAACTCATTTTTGACACTTTACCCAGTAGTATCAGTGCCTGTGATGCCCTGTGTCCCTCAGCTCTCCCTTGCCCTTTGGTCTCCAGCTGGGGCACTGCAGGAGGCTCTTACTTGCTACTCTTCCCATTTCTGTTCAGTCCTGGTGCTCCTCTGAACTCCAGATGTCTTGGCTACTCACTCATCTTGACAGTCATGAACTGCCCATTTAGATACTGAAACAATTTCACCCAGACTGGAATTTCTATAGGTCAGAACCTCTGTCAGCATCTGCAGTGAGTACATAGTTTTGAATGAAGATTTGCCTAAAATGACCTCATCCTCCATTTKTTATACCTGTTACTTAGGTTTAGAGTCAAGAGTACAGGTAAAGGCAAGAGGGTGCAGTGACATAATCCCCATGACTCAAGAAGGTGTGGGGAGGATTTCAAGTTCAAGGCCTCTTGCAATTTAGCAAGACCCTGTCTCAAAATTTAAAAATGTAAAAAATGATGAGGGTTGTAGCTGAATGGTAAAGCACTCCTGGGTTCAGTCCCCAGTATAAAATAAATAAGTAAACAAGAAACCTACAGTTGAAAACCTCAACTTAGGTGCAGATGTCATTAGGAAGTCTGCTGTAGTAGGACATGGAGTGATGCCACCTTTGTCTTCCCCACATGTTGCTTCTGCTTGTAATTAAAATGAACTGCGGATACTTTCGAGACCATCACCCATGTGGCTTTTGGATTTTAAGATTTTCAGATTCTCTTAAAACCCCAGTGTGTAGATTATGCATGAACCTGAGGCTTCGAGAGGTTAATATACCCAACATTAGGTGGGCATGGTGGTGCTCACCCGAATCCCAGCTACCTCAGAGGCTCAGGCAGGAAGAGCACAAGTTAAAGGCCAGCCTAGTCAACTTAGTGAGGCCCTGCCTCAAAACTCAAAACGACTGGGATGTGGCTCAGTGATAGAGTGCTAGTCTAGGACACACAGCACTTGGGTTCAATCCCCAGTGCTGTCTCTGCCGCCCTTTGGCAATGGAGCTGATAAATGATAGGGCCAGGATTCCATCCCAGCCCATCTGTCCTTAGAGCCAAATCCTGAATGAATACTTAAGGATGTACATTTTATTATATTATGTACCACTCG